ACAAACTTGACTAGAGAACTATCTTTATGTATCACATTTTCCCCATTCTCCATTTGTTCAGCTAATTTCTTCGCATACATAACCTTAGAACTCACTACTTCCAAATCCTCAAAACCTAATCTTCTACTCAAAACCTCGTCTTCATCAACCTCTACTTTCTCCACATTTCCATCTGAATCCTTATAGACAGTGAAAATAGGATTCGAACCAATCCCCCAATACTCTGTTTCCTTCTTGTACCGAGAAACCCAGTCTTCAAGCTCATTCAACAAACCCGAATCTTGAGAAACCTTATCTTTCAATTTCAATCCCTCGGTGCTACTTAACTCGACCAAATCATCACTACGATCGAGAGTATGGGTTTCGTTTCGAGATTTCGTACCTGGGTCATAAGGAATCGGCTTCGAACGCAAATTCTCATCACTGATGATCTTCTTCCTCAGTGAATTACGTCGCCTCGAGGTCTCTCCGAAACGAGCTGAAACTCGGAGAATTGAAGCTCGGTAGTACCGGAATTTGGAGATGGGCGAGTTGAATCGATGTTGATTTCTCTTGTTAGTGAGTCTCTGAGACGATAAAGATGAGAAATTGAAGAACCCATTTGGAAGACCAGAGCTTAGAACCTCCATTGATAGGAAAGTGAAGAAGATTTCAAAACCTCAAAGATGGGTTTATCAGAACAAATACGAAACGTCGTCGTTTCTTTCAGAAAGCCTTTGCCTTTGGAATTTGGACTCGACAAAATCATTACAGACATTTGAAAATGAGATTGATAAGCTATGTTGTGGAAAAAGTGTCAACATTTACATTTTCCAGATACATCAGACTTGTAATGAACTATAGAAAAACCTCCATGACATGAGAAAACCAGAGAGATAGAGAAGAAGAACACAAGTTTATAGTCGATTACAGAGAAAGCTCTAATTACAGACACTTCCAAGAACCATGGTTACAAAGAGACAAGCTCAGTTTTAAGATAAGTTTGGGATACAAGCTCCTCCACCTTCACCACTTTGTTGCTGATCTTTCCAGATTCTTCCAGTGACTCGTAGTTTCAGCTCTTTCCTGTCTCCACCTGAGAAGAAGAGAGCCATGTTTCTTTGTATAATTAGTCCATCATGACTGTCTCTAACTTTTCTGTGGCTGTCTCTTACGCTTCTCGGTGTTCCTTCCCAAATCAGCTTCCGGCCATAACCTCCCACTTCTAAACTGTAATTGTAGTTCCGAGCTTCTGTTTCGTCCCCCATGAAACGCAGGAACGCCATGTAGACTGGTGCCATTCCGAGCTGGAAAGCCTCAAAGTGAAGACAGAAGTATTGACCAAAGCAGTGAAATACCTGAGTTTCGATTTGAACCAGAAACAAAACCAAAAGAGAAGAACTTTGATAAGCACATGTGACGGTTTAAGTAAACAAGCCTTACATTTGTGTAGAGAGATGGAAGATTCACAACCATTGATCTTGCAGAACAAAAGCTTAGCCATAGAATCTTGATTTCATAACAAATTTACATAAAACCACTTCAGAACAAAATCGCATAAATAACTGGACCTTCTCTAGGATTTCATTCAGTTTATATATCCCATAAACAGAATTGGACATCTCTAAGCAGCAGCACGATTAAAAGCTCACTCGCAACAGAAGCAAAAAAATTTACTCATCTGATTGCTTCAGATTACAGTTTATACGAGAGATAGATCAAAGTTTCATCACATAAAAAAGCTTTATAGATAGCTATGAAGCATGAATCATTGTGTACTTACAGTTAACATCCATGTAGCATTTTCGACTTCACGAGGATTAGATTTGACATAACGATGGTTGAAAGTGCACCCAGAATGCATATCAACCTTATGATCATCCCTCAGATGAGCAACTAAGAAAGGGATATCTCCCATAAAAGAACACTCGGATCCAGCATACGGACAGTTATAAGGCCTGAAGTTACACACAGTCTCATGTTTAAGCTTACTGTAATAAGGAAAGATCTCAGGACATCCAAGTGACATGTGTTTGCACGGTAGCTCAAGAGATTCCGCTACTTTCTCAAGCGCCAAACAACGGATATCGCCGAGCTCTTGTCGACAAGTTGGACAGCGATTATGAACCCTGTTTTTACAAGTTGAACATAGAGTATGTCCATTGTGACACTGCAGAGAAATCAAAATCATTGTGGTAAGTGTAATCTTCATAATTCACAATAAGAATTTCAAACACACATATCCATTTCTTGAAACATCACAAATATGCAAGAAAGTATAAAAAAGCTTATAGATTTGGTAATGGCTTCAAAAACCCTAAAACCAATCAACAAAGCAAAGATCCGGTAAAAACAAAATCAGGGCAAAATCAAACCTGATGAATCGGAGGGTACATAGAATTGGTGCATACAGGACATTCGAGAAGCTCATGAACACTAGTGGTGGTAGGAAGAAGCCCAGAAGCAGCAGCATTCACGTTGCTGTTGTTATTACTATGATGCTTCGAAACTGAAGCATACGAATGGCGATCTTGTTGGATCTCTTCATCATCTGTAACATCCATGGTTGAAGTACAGTCTATACTATCCAAATCCATCGAAACCCCCAAAAAAAAACAAAATTTGATTGATCTTCGATCGAATCCGATTTAGAGATTTATGAATTGAAGACCCACCGAAACAGGTCAACCCTCGTGAAGTGTGAATTTCAAAAACAAAAAGATGCTTTTCTTCATCAATTCC